GAAAATATCTGACATTTAAAATAAAAACATTGGACATGCTAATTTGTGTATAGTAGGCCCAGTACCCTTCAACAACACACAAAGAACTACAGGCAACCAACGAGATCTGAGAGTGTGAAAAGTTATCAGGTGAGAGAACAGCAATGGGTTATCCAATACCAATCAGTGGTGAAAACAACATACAAGTAACATTGTACAGACTATCAGGCTTTGTGTGTGTGTGTATGCGTGTGTATGCGTATATGTATATGCATGTAACAACAATGTATGAAAAGAGCAGCAATGAGTTTGAAAGAGAACTAGGAGTAGTTGAAGAGAGGAAGAGGTAAAATGATTTAATTATTTTCAATAATAAAAGAAATAATTCATAAGATTGTATTAAAGAGGTGACCACATGCAGAACTGGAAAGGTTTTGTACAGATACCATTGAGCAACAGTTCTTGGTTCCGTCAGTAGATGGCAGTCATGGTCTCAGGAAGGAGACAAGGCTGACGACAGTATTTGTCAATCTTGTCTTGAATCCCTGTGATAAAATACTTTATGTTCAGCTTCAACTCATTTATAGATCTCTATTAGAATTATACTAAAAATTATTAATACTAATTAGATAGCTTCAGTTTGTCTCTTGATTTTTCAGTGCAGCCAAAATTTGTTAAAGGATTTTTGGCTAGCTGTTAGGGAAGCTGACTGCCCTCTCATGTCTCCTTCTAGAACACTATTTCGAGTAAAGTGGGGCTCCATCTCTAAAAGCATGTTTTTGCTTGAAGAATTTTAATCTTATCTAAGTCTTTTGAAAGTCTCAGTATTTATGGATTGCAACGTGATACATGGGTACATATAAACACCGTGTATTGATCAAATAAAATAGCTAGCATGTCTGCAGCTTTGAAGACTTATTTCTTTGAGGTAAAAGCATTCAAAATGTTCTAGTTTTGCTATTTTGAAATATACAATACTTTGTTACTAGTTGTAGACACAAACCATCAGTACTCATTCACTCCTCGTATGTAACTGAAATACTGGATATATATGATATGATCAAAACAATAGAGTTCATTAAGTAGTATAGCACGGAAGTGATTTAGGATAATAGCATAAAATTATGTATAAGAAGCAGGGAAACTGAGTAAATTACATGATCAAAACATATTATCAAGAAATAAAGAAATCAGGGACTGAGGAGATGGTTCAATGTGCAGTAGCACTTGCTGCTTATCTTCGTTAGGGTTTCTATTGCTCTGAAGAGACACCATGACCACAGAAATCATATAATTGATGTGGTATCTTATAGTTTCAGAGGTTTGATCCATTATCATCATTGCAATGAGCATGGAAGTGTGCAGTAGACTTGATGCTGACTACCTATATCTTGATAAGAAGGCAACCAGCAGAGAGTGAACTGAGACACTGGGTGGTATCTTGAACATATATGAAACCTCAAAGCCCACCTCCACAGCAACAAGCATCTTCCATCAAGGCCACCCCTACTTCAACAAAGCCATATTTCCTAATAGTGTCACTCCCTTTGGGGATCATTTTCTTTAAAACCAGCATATTCCACCCACTAGTTCCCAAAGGCTTATATCAGTATCATAACACAAATATTCATTCAGTCTAACTTCAAAAGTCCCTGTTGTCTATCACTATCTCAACAATGTGCGAAGTCCAAAGTTCAAAGTCTCTTCTGAAATTCATGGAATATTTTAACTGTAATTCCCTGTAAAATCAAAATAAAAAATCATATCACTTACTTTCAACATATTATGTCACAGAATATACATTACCATTCCAAAATTCAGAAAAGAGAGCATAATGAGAAAATCCTGGACCAAAGCAAGATTGAAAACCAGCTGGGCAAACTCAAAACTCTGTATCTCCATGTCTGATGTGAAAATGTTCTTCAGATCTCCAAGTCCATTCAGCTTTGTTGACAACAAAGTACTTCCTCTTTGGGGTTGGTTTCACCCCTTGTTAGCAACTCTCCTAATTAGGTATCCCACAGCCCTCGCTTCTCCCAAATCTTAGGGTCTCCAAGGCAATTCAGGCTTCAACTTCACAACTTCATGCAATGGCCTCTCTAAACCTCCATGCAAGGAAACCCCTGACACGTGCCTGGACTCGGAAGCTTTCCTTAGGCACTGAGGCAAATTCCACAACCCCTTTATTATATCCTTAACTCTAAAGCCAGAACCACATAGCCAAATCTGCCAGGTTCTGCTTTCTGTGGCTGAAACATGAATATCTCATTCACATACATCTTTGCTAGCATTCTGTCCTTCACTCTCTGAGCTTGGCTGTTCTGAAACTTGCACTGTAGTCCAGGCTAGCCTCAATCTCAGAGATCTGTCAGCCTCAACTTTCAGACTGCTGGGATTAAAGTCATGCATGGCCACACCTGGCTCTTAGCTTTCCTTCCATTCCTTTTTACAAGATGGAAATTTAGCTCTGTGGGATCTCGCCCTAAGGTCACCACTCCCTTTATTCCATTTCTTAATCTGTTTATCTCCTTGAACATAGTATTTAGTTCCGTTCCACTTTCTGGTGCTCATTTTCTCCTCAAATATTTTTCCTTGCTCAGCTTGCTCTTTCTCATTTTAAATCTACATAGTCAGGCAGTGGTGGTGCACGCCTTTAATCCTAGCACTCAAAGAGGCAGAAGCAGGTGGTTCTCTGTGAGTTCAAGACCAGCCTTGTCTACAAGTGAGTTCTAGAACAGTTGGAGATTACTCAGTCAAACCTTATCTCAAAAAAAAAAAAAACCCAAAATTGAATCTATGTAAGAGAGAACAGTAATAACCATACAACAGAATCAATACTAGGCTGTTTGACTCTGCCAGTGGAATTACTCAAAATCTTTTCATTTTGTCTCAGGCAGACTTTTCAGACAGTGGCAAAAAGTAATCCATTTTCCACCAAAATATTACAGTAACTATCTGTAGGCCACATATTAATATTCTTCTCCACTTGATCCAGGCACCCATTGTTCATCAAATCACACTCAACATCATTGTCTTCCATGCTCCTACTAGGATGTCACATAAAGCAGCACTGATAGTGTTCAACTGCTTTTCAAACCCACGGTCCAAGGTCTATATTCCATCAAACAAAAGCAGGGTCAGGATATTACATCAATACCCCAGTCCTTGGTGCCAACTTCTGTCTTAGATTTTTTTATTATTGTGAGAAGGCACCACGACCACAGCAACTCCTATAAAGGCAAACATTTCATTGAGGTGGTGGCTTACAGTTTAGTCCATTATCATCACAGCAGGGAGCATGAAGGTATGCAGGCAGAAGTGGTGGTGGCTACATCTTGATCAGAAGGCAACAGGAAGTGAACTGAGACACTGGGTGATATCTTGAGCAAATATGAGACCTCAAAGTCCACCTACACAGTTACACACTTCCTCCAACAAAGCTATTACCTCTTAGTAGTGCCACTTTTTTTTGGGGGGGGGTTTCATTTTTATTCAAATCACCATGCTGCTCTTACAGATGACCCAAATACTCTGATAAGAGTGATGAGCATGGGTCTTAGAAGCTCTTTGGGGTGAGAAGCAAAGCAAGTGATAAAGCAACATGTAGTCTGAAGCTGCTTGTTCATTCCATTTCAGTTCTTAACACCAATTTAAGCAGATCACACCTTCCTGTAACTCAAGATCCAACAGATCTGACACTTTCTTCTGGTTTCTATGAGTACCAGCACACACATGTACCTACAGACAAATAACACACACAGACACATATACACACAACAGATAATTCTAAAATCAAACATTTAAGTAAATAAACAAATCAGTGTAATTTTATGGTAATAGGGAATACAATGGAAGTTGTAATACTTGAAATAACCACACAGCAGTATTTTATAGATAAAGGGATATTATAGGTGGAGAACATATATATCGTGGAGTTTCCAAGAATGTCTCAACCTATTATTACACGATCAGCTACATTCATTAAGTACTTAGTCTATGTGAATTACTTTACATATTAATTATAATCACCTCAGCCACAAAGTTACTAAAATTCCCCACATTTTCAAACATGTAAAGAAGATATAAAGCCATAAAATAACTTGCCCAAAGGCACATGGATGCAAGGTGAGGGGCTGGAATTTGAACACAGATATGGTTCCAAAGGTTTTGGTACCACACGTTTTGTGACCAAAAGCATTCCCAGGAAATATTCTCTGATTTTTAGCTAAGAACATATGGTCTCTGCTGAGTGTAAGATATTGATCTTTCTTCTGAACTGCACATTTGTTACCATTAGTGACAGAAGTCATCCAGGTGTTGCAAGCTTATCCTGATATCAGAGACTTGAGCCACTTAATATTTCAGGAATACTCTGTGAACTTGAGCTAATGACTACCCTGGGAATGGATAAAACCCAGGCACCCAGTCTTAATCCTGGGTAGAGGACCAGATTGTCTCAAATTGTTTCCTCCCAGATTCTGTTCTTCTGACTCTCATTGCTGGTTTAAATTGTAGCCTTTCCCATGCCCTAGTGCATATGTCCTGGGTGTGTATTAAGGACAGCCTTTAGAAACTTTTGCTTCTCTGGTTTGATGGGTTTCCTTCCCAGGATCAGTTGAAGAAGTTATGTGACATGACACCCTGAGGTAAACTTCCCGTGTGGCAGGACAGAGAAGCCCATAAGAAGCCTTTCCTTAGGACCCCTTCCATGAACAGGAAAGTTCTGAGTGCAGTCTGGAAAGGAGGAGGGACTTCATTCATTGCTGTCACTGCTGTTAGGTCCTTATTGCCAGCCTTTCCACTGGGAGCTGAGCCAATGGGAAGTCTGGAGAAGCTTTCCAGTGCCTTGGCAGAAGTGTGCAGGGAGGAGCAGAGAGTCTTAGGAGGAAGGAGGCAGGAGGAGCTGGAGCCAAGCCGTGAAGGTCGCAGAGCTGCAGTGGGAGGTGAGTGAAACTCTTATGCATCATGATTTGTTTCAGGCTTCTAAGTATGAGTGGCTGGTGCCTAAGCATCTGTATGTTATGAGCATCCATTTACTCCCGAAGGGACAGCTGACTGTCTAAGACCTGGTAGTCACACACTGCATTATTTGATGACAATTGTCCCCTTCACTTTTCTGAGGCTGTCTTTAGCCCCTCCTACACCAGTCTTTAGACTCTACAGGGAACTGTACTAGAGTCATATTCAGAATAAGAGTGACAGCAGATGACAATATCTACCACACTGATCAACACAACCTATATATGAGAAATACCTTTATTATTCACTATCTAAGGAAGAAGCCTACCACTGCTACCCGCTCCTGAAGTTTATAACAAACAACCTGCACAAGAATGCAGTGAATACCCGAACACCAATGTCTGGTCTTTGGAACTACTGAATAAGTATCTGTGAATTAACAAATGAATGAAAGGTTATTTATAAGATACTCATTTTTACCTCTTTTATTTTAAAGCAATGGGTTAAAAAATCCTACCATTCAAGTTACATGCCATTCCCTGGTCTAGAGGCCATAATACAATAATGATGGTTACCTCAAAATTCTGCATGGAATTAGATAGTCCTTGTTGAAAATATTTTGCTTTTTATAAATATTCAGCAACTTTTGGTGGTAATGTTTGGAACTTCTATTTAAAAATATAAAAAATGCTTTTTAGTTCCTAATTTCTCCAACAGATTCAAAACTGGTGCAGCTGAGCTTTGGAATATTTCTGAACTACAAATGCCTTCCACAATTTATAGCCTCAAAATGTCTGCTAGTAATTTTGGCCACAATAAAAACCAACTCAAAATGTGTTGTTAATATGAAAAAAGTGTTCTTTTTATTTGTGAGCTCTAATATCTGTGGTGATTAAGACACTATTTTCAACACGAAACCTTTTATTTATTCATAGTCATATCTGAAAGATTTATATTTCATATCTGTGATGGGATTTTCAATGTTAATACAGTATTGGAGATGTTCACATTTAAGTCACATTAAATCCTCTATAGAAATCTTGTAAAACTATTCAATTATTCTGATAAAAAAAACAAGTGTGAATTCTTTAGTTTGTCTGGAGTGCTTTAGAGACCAGCAGATGGCAGACACAGGAAGAAATCAACTCCATACAAAGAGATAACACAGTGCTATCCCTGTTTGATGAGTAAAGCTAGGTTAAGTTGTGTTTGTTTATGAGGAATCATTAGATTTCCTAATTTGTTCTCTGAGAAGAAAATGGAGTGTATTTTTCCGTCTGAAGTTGGCTGTGATGCCCCTGAATATGTTTTAAGTGGACATCAGCCAGAAGAGCCTCACTTCCTAAGTACCACTCTGGAGCCCCGTCATTTTTCCTGGGTGAATAAGGGATGGCCACTGATGACACTATCACCAGGGCAGTCCAGAGAGAGGCTGGAATGATGAGGGCACCAGGCAGGCAGGTCTCTCCGGCCCTGCCAGCACCTCTGCCTTTCCTTCTTTTGTCATAATTTCTGTTCAGAAGCCTTCTGCCATCCCTCTTGTTCTCCAAGCATGTTCCAGAAACTGCAAATGCTCAATTTCTAAACTGAATTATAGATCACACACTACTGGGTATGGGGAAGATGTGCTTTTACTGGTTTCTTGGTCCTGGTAGTGCTCTAAAACACTGGGGTATTAGAAGCTCTAAAAATTCTTAATTTTCAAGAGAATTTTATCCAGGTCACAGAACCTTTCAATTTATTTTTCAATTCTTAAGAAATAGTAAAGCACTGTGCTGCTTTCTCCTGTCTTTAACTGTGCTCCCTGAAAGAAGCTGAGATAAACCTGCAGACTGTAGTAGGCATTAAAGGGACAGATTAAACTGATCCTATTTTCTTCCTGCTACTTACAAAAGCGGACAGTGGAGATAAGGGATGAGCTGAACGAAACTCACTAGCAAAAGCATTGTGTCAGATAAGTGAAGGGGAAACTGCCCAGTGAGCAAGACTGCAACTTGACGACTGCTTGGAACACCTATTGAACAATTTTCTACAATCATATTGTTCTATAAAGAAAAGTATAAATTCACTTTGATAAAACTGTCATGTTGTCATCTATAACAAAAGGTGAAAACAGCAGCAATTTTGTTCATATATCAAGCGGGCCACCTGTATCCAGGGATTCCACTCAACCAACATCAGGTCCAAAATATTCATGGAGAGAAATAAGACTACACCGAAACAAACATACAATACTTTTCTTGACATTGTTGCATAAAAGGCACAAAACAGCTATTAGTTTTGCATTGTTTGCATTGTAATATAAGTATTCTAAATATAAGTTAACTTTCAGAGAAGGAGATGGATAGATTGTTTACAAATTCTAAAGTGCTTTAGGGAGGGTAATTTGAACAGCTAAAAGCTTTTCTAGAACTCATACCCTGTGGATTTTGTAGGACATTTATACACTTGAGGTTTTCACACAAATGAACTTTTGAAGTCTAAAAGTAGGATGCCTTTGTTTCCATATGTTATGTAACATGAACACACCTTAGAGGACACAAAAAGAAAAATCAGAAATATATTTTGCAGTGTGCTGTTTCTTGTTTCAGTGTGAAATTATGAATTCTACTGTACGAGGTCGCCTACACCCAGCACACCAAATATTTGTGTGAGACATTTGGGAACGTTGATTTGGAATGTACTTTCCTGTATGCCACATAGTGACTTGTCACCAGTTGTGGTAGGTAGTTGTCAGGCTCCCATGCAGGACTCAGTATAGGATCCATGAAAAACTTCCCTGAAACTGTGAGCCCAGCTAGGTCACCTTTGAAAGGCCCTCTAAAGCCTGGCAACAGTTTCTTCCAAGTGACATAGTGGTCCATGTCTCCCCTTCATTCTGAACAACATTAAAGTAGAGATGCAGAAATCTCAAGTTCTTAATAAAGAAGATCGATGCCTTAAGATTTGAACTTGTAAATTATTCTCCAGGGCTGACAGTTTGGTCACTGACTTTTTTTCCAAATGTCTATTTTATATTTATTTGACCAATGGGTTTCAGAATCCTAGTCAGCTTCAAAGAAAAAAATGGAATTTTATTATTTTTGTAAAGTCAAAGACTGTGTAGCAGTTGTTTCCTGATTATCACATGGGGAAAAGATAGAAGAACTCGAAAATGTCTACTCTGCTGACAAAGGAGAATCACAGCCATAAAGCAGCAGGGATGCTAACGCTTGTGAGGGCCAAAAAGTGTCTTTATTTACTAAACCAAATCATGGATAAATTTTAACTTGTAAATTTAGCTACAGATCTATCAAGAAATGACTGTGTGGTTTATCAAACATTTTAGACCATATTTGACTCTTAGGATGTATTTAAGGCATTTAAGGATGTATTTAGGGTAACATCTGACAAACTCTGACTCTTGGTCCAAATCTCCCTTAACACCTAATCTTTAACAAGGTTTTGATGGATTAGAGCCATGTTCTATTTGCTTATCTTCTATGTTTGTTTCAATATCACAACTCACAGATGACTGGCTGGATCCCATGTCTTTATAGATTATAGGGTCAATTTGCTAATGAAGAATGAAGCAAAATGCTACAAGGCCATTTCTTAAAGATGCTTTCGGCTTCATTGTAACACATTGGTCCAACCTGGTCCTGAAACTCAATCAAGATAACAGTGACATCTGCCTTTAGCCTTTCTCTGATCTGTGTCTGGACCCTGGGGAGGCAACAGCTGATGGCAGGAAGATGCGGCAGCGTCAGTGATATGGAAAGAGTTCTGAGTGCCTGCTCAGTGACCAACTCCTCATATTGCCCAGGTCCTCTGAGGAAAATAACACAAAGAACAAACTCATAGCAATCCTAGTGACTACGTGTAATGGGTCCACGCTCTTCTAGCACCTCAGCTTCTCACCAGAGAACAAAAGAGATGAGACTTCCAGACTCTATGTAGTAGAAAGCCCACATCTCTCTCCATCAGGGTCTTCATAGAAAGCAGGCACATAGAGGAGGAAGAGTAGGAGTGTAGGGCTGGCGTCCATGTCTTGAAGTAGCAAAGATTTCTAACTTTTTGAGAAAAATGTAAAGGGCTGTCAAAACTTCAGTAAATCCTCATTGAACGTGAAATCAGTCTTGGATAGTGGCTATGAAGTAACTCAATTCATGGTTTTCAATAACATTGTAATTGCATGTGTGCATATTCTTTTCTTCTCCTACTACTAGCAGGCTCGAAGGTTTACTGTACTCTATTTTCCCATTTGGACCTATCCCATCCCATCCCGTCCCGTCCCGTCCCGTCCTGGTCCATCCACTCCACTCTCCCCCATCTTGTCTTATCAATTAACTGTATTTCCTTGTTTTTAAATGCTGGCATTCATCACTACATGCATTTTATTATCCCTAGTTAACCACAATCTACAATTTGTAAAACTATGTTCTAGATAATACTAGCATTACTGATTCTTGCCTAACTAAAAGTGATGTTAAGGAAACAATGTCCATCCAGTTTTCTTCCCACAGAATCATGACCCAGGGGTTGAAGAGAACTCCGGCTTCTTATATGCATGTTTTTCTCTCACAATGTTTCTTTTCACATTTAATAAGTGTCTATTTTATTTTGTTATGTTTCTTAGTTGGTTTTTCATTTGTTTCTTCTTCACTCTGTCTTTGGTCACCCTCTGGAGTCACTGTGCAGTCGGCTTCTATTTGCTCTTCAGGCTCAAGGTTTTGCAACAACTACTTTCTCTCAATTTTTACTGAAAATAATTTCTTTTCACTTAATATATCCTGATTATAGTTTTCCCTCCCTCTATTCCTCCGAGATCCTTCTCACCCCTTTCCACTTCTTGATTGTATTACTGCTGAATATCTCCATTTCCAGCTGACATGTCTTTGAGGACTTCTCATCCTGCCTTGTCAATGTTTGTCACTTGTCTGTTTGTAGATTTGGGCTTAGAGTGTGTCATTATCCTCTGAGTATTTATAATATGTGTAAAGCC